CTGCAAACTTGTCCTCCCCAAATAATTATTCTAATAATTATCAGATTGTCCCTGAACACCTTTCTCTTTGACCGTGCCTATGGTCACCTCCACCTGGCGGTGCGCTAGGCTCTGCCACTGTTGAGTGCTCTGGGACACTGCCCTGTGGGAGGGGTGCTATATAAGATAGAAACAGGAGGAGGCCATTCAGCCCTTCCAGCCTGTTCTGCCATTCTATAAGATCATGGCTGATCTGTAAGTCAAGTCCAATCTCCCACCCTTGCTCCATATCCCTTAACAACAACAACAAGATTACATTTGTACAGCGCCTTTCATGTCGGGAGGACGTCCCAAGGTGTTGATAACCTAACAAATACCTATCCACCTCAGACCTGAGGTGCGAATGGCCTTTTTGGGGGAGAGAGTTCCAGATTTCCACTACCGTTTGGGTCAAAAACTGTCTCTGATTTCACTCCTAAGTGGCCCGGCCCCCTTGTTCTGGATTCCCCCACCAGAGGAAATAGTTTCTCTGTAGCTATGCTATCGGATCACTTTATTTTTATAAACACCTCAATCAGATGTTGTCCATCATGTATGTCTGTGCTGGCTCTTTTACAGAGCAATTCTTTCAGTTCCATTCACCTGCCTTTTCCCCACCACCGTACCTTTGCAGTTGACTCTTTTTTTTTAAAGCTATCTATCTAGTTCTCTTTTGAAAATTAATATTGATTCTGCCTCCAGCCAATCCTCCTCGCACAGTGTTCCACATCCTACCCACTCTGTGTGTAAGAAGTATTTCGGCCTCTGCATTTTTTTCCTTTGCAAATCATTGTGCGTCAGAAGGTTGTGGGTTCAAGGCCCCATGTTAGGACTTGGAATCACTTAGTTTTTTACGATGGTGCTCCATTGCAGCGCTGGGGTGGGGTTGGGGGGGGTTGGGGGGCAGGTACTGTCCTTTGGATGAGACATTAAACCGAGCTCCCATCTGTGCCTGTTCAGGTGGACGTAAAAGATCCCGCGGGCTGTTCAAAAAAATAAGGTTTCTCTCTCCCGTTGTCCTGGCCAACAATCCCCACCCCCTACCCGCCCCCAAAAAATGGTCGCTCGCTCCATGGCCGTTTGTGGGAGGTTGCTGTGCACAAACAGGCTGCCGTGTTTCACTCACAAAACACACAGTCACTGTACTTTACATTATATCTTGTGAGGCACTTTGACACTGCTCGCCAATGTTATATGGCACTATATCAAATGCAAACATTATTATTATTACAATTATCGATTATTATTATAATCTTAAATTAATGCCTTCTCGTTAACGTGCAGGAATTATTCATCGGATTTCTTAGTAGAAAATGTGGGATACGATTCCTACATCATAGAAATTGCACCAGAGTCTATAAATTCAACAGAACCCCTTGACCACAATCCCCAACCCCCCATCTCCCGTCACTCCAATAGAGATCAGAGATCATACACTTAACATGATAATCCCTCCAGTGGTCGCTCAATCCATGACTGTTTGTGGGACACTGCTGTGTGCAATTGGATGCTACGTTTGCCCACAAAACATACCGTCACTTTACAATACATTCTGTGCTTTGCGACATCACACCAACGTGATAAGGTGCTATAGTCCTATAGCTTAGTGGTTAGAGCGTGCGCCTCCCAAGCAAGAGAACCTGGATTTGATTCCCCAGCCGGGCAAAATTTTGGGCAAGTTTCCTTATTCCACACGCCCCTGTTTATCTAGCAATGAGTAGGAACCTGGTTGTTAGTGGATTGGCGGTCTGCTTCTCCGCTGGTAGTAATTAAAAATTAAAAAAAAATTGGTTATTTAATCCACGAGTATTTGTGGGACACCTCTGTGCTTAATTGGCTGCCACCCTTTGCCCACAAAATACACAATCAATTCACTTCACAGTATATCCTGTGAAGCATTTTGAGACATCTTGAAGACATGATAAGGCATTATATCAAGTGTAAGGATTATTATACTGTTATTTTTAATTTAATTTAAAGCGTTGAATGTTAAGATTATACCTTTGATAACTTAAAGACTGTTTTTAGATTATGTTTATGATGCTAAGGTAATTCAATATCTAATACATTTATCTCGTGTCTCATGATTTCAAAAAAAATGTTTTTGAAGGTAGCGGCAAGTAATTGTAACTGCCCTTATAACTACTGTAACTGATGTACACATTTCTGATAAATACAATAAATTATAATACAAACTTACATTTATGCAGCAACTTTCATGTCAGGAGGATGTCCCAAGGCGCTTTACAGTCCTGGCTGGGCACCTGAGCTGGGGTTTGGACAAGGGAGAGGGGAGGGGGACGGGGAAAGATGACCAAAAGTGTGGTCACAGAGGAGGTCCTGAGACAAACCTTGAATGGGGTGAGGGAGGGAGGGAGAGAGGGAATGAGTTGGAGGGACTCTGGGACGGAGTTCCAGCGAGCGGGGGCAGAAAGGCTGAGAGCTCAACCGTCACGTCTAACCCAGAACAAGATTAGAGAGTTCATTGCAGAGAAGACCATGAGAAGGAAATTCATAGATAAAAGCCAGGGGATCAATCAATAGGATTGAAAAAGTAAACCCAGATCAATATTTTCAGGTGCATCAATATAGCAGAAGAGGACACAGGTTTAAAAGTCACAAGAGGGCAATTTAAGGACAGACCAGAAAGTGTTTCTTTACCCACAGGGTAAGTAATGACTGGAACAGGGCGGCCAGGAAGGAAGGGTTGAGGCCAGGACGCTGAAACTCCTGTTAAAAGCAGCTCCATGCTGTGATGGGGGTGAAGGGACAGTCGGAAAGGTGTTGTGGAGTTGATGAGATCAGTTGGGCCAAAAGGTCTTCTTCATCCAAACCCACGTTGTGAATAGTAACTACAACGACTTGTATTTATAGAGCGCATTTCACGTGGGTTAGCGATTCAGGGCCCGTAAATAACAGCTTCTCCCTTATGCGCTACGGAAGGACAGAATGTTTACAGGATGTCACTTGAGGATGAAAGAGAGAGAGAGAGAGAGGGAGAGTCCGTCACAACAGCTTTGCGAGTTCCACTTCAGCTTTTTAAACAAAAATACAAAACATCTTTTCATCGAATACAAAAGAAAAACATATTTCACTGAATTACAAAGACACGGCAGAAATCTTCCTGCCCCAACACCGATATAGACAATATAATAATGTACAGTCCTTCCAAATGTTAAAGCCGTTCGGTGATGGCTACGATTCAGTGGGTAGCGCTCTCAGCTCCGAGTCGGAAGGTTGTGGGCTCGAGCCCCCACGTCAGAATCGCACCGTCTAGGCTGACGCTCCAGTGCAGTGCGAGGAAGTTGTCGGTGGTGCTGTCCTTTGCACGAGAGGTAAAACCGAGCTCGTCGGTCTGTGCCCTGTACAGGTGGATGTTAAAAGTCCCGCGGCGCTGTTCGAAAAACACAGCGAGTTTCTCTCTCCCTGGTGTCCCGGCTGACAATCCCCCAGATAAAATCGGCCACTCACTGCACGGCTGTTTGCGGGAAGGTTGCCACTCGCAAATTGACTGCCAGTTCGTCGACAAAACACAGAGTCACTGCACTTTACAGGGTATCTTGTGAAATGCTTTGGGAAGCTTTTCCTCCCAAAGTGAAAGGCATGGAACCAGATGTAGGGATTATTATTAAAACGAAGCACACACTTTGTCGAACCTGATGGGGAATGGGCTTTGGAGCTCAGGTCTCCGTGGGACAACCCAGGGTTTGGGGAGGGAAGGGAAAGAGTTTCTCTGATTCTCTGGAGAAAATCACCTTGCCTTTTGTGATTGCCTCCAGCGATTTGTTTTAGACATCACATCAAAGCAGCAAATAGAATATAATAACAACATTACACTTGTAAAGTGCCTTTCATGTTGGGAGGACGTCCCAAGGCGCTGGACAGTCATGGCTTTGGACATTTTAGGACCTGAGCTGAGGGTCGGGATCGGGGAGGGTGAAGGTCAGGGAGAGTTGGATGATGGTCAAAGGCTCGGTCGAAGAGGAGGGTTTTGAGACCCATCTTGAAAGAAGCAAGGGAGGGAGCAACACGAAGGGAACGGAGGATGGAGTTCCATAGGGTGGGGGCAGGGAGGCTGAAGGCCTGAACACCGATGGTGTGGTGGGCTGGGTGGGCTTGGGTAGGAACCAGGCACACGACATTGCCCATTCCCAAACACTATGGACATTGATACAAATACAAATAATAATCCTTGCATTTGGTATAACGCCTTCTCACAACTGAAGGACGTCTCAAAGTGCTTCGCAAGATTTACAATGTAATGGAGTGACTGTGATTTGTAGGCAAAGGCGCGAGCGCAATTGTGCACAGCAACGTCTCACAAACAGCTGTGAAACGAGTGACCAATTTTATTTGGGGGACAGTTGGCCGGGACACCGGGAGACAGGAATTCCCTTTTTTTCCCCGGGAAATGTAACATCCACCTGAATAGGCAGAAGGGGAACCCAGTTTGACATCTCATCTGAAGGACGGCACCTCCGACTGTGCAACAGCGCTGGATTGCAGTGTCATCTTAGACTGTGTGATTCCAAGTCCCGATGTGGGGTTTGAACCCACAACCTTCTGACTCGGAGGCGAGAGCGCTATCACTGAGCCAGGCTGACACACATAGAAACTAATTTGAACAGCATTATATAAATAGCACCTCATTTAAAAACAATCATGTACATTTTTACATAACTGGAAATTACACAAACTGAGCAGTACCTTTGATCCACAACGGATTTTGAAACTCCCCCTTTTTTTAAAAAAAACAAAGGAATAAAAGGAGAAAGACCTCACCAACGATCCCCTCAGGTAAAAGCTCTCCGTTCGCTTCCAAAAAAAAAGTTACAGCCCAGAAACAGCTAAGAAGGAGGCCATTTGGCCCATCGTGTCCGAGGAGTTTCGATAATTGGCTGTCAACGCAACACAACACAACAGGCACTACATTGCCAGTCGCTGCACTGTGGAGACTTTTGTGGATGTTTTCGGCAGGAAAAGCAACAATAAAAATACAACATTCTCTCTTATTTCTGCAGTCGTCCAGCCCTCCCCGTCCACACCACTTGGCAGCCATTTTGCAGTACGAGTAATACACAGGGCTGCTTACCGCATGGTGCGTGGAGCAGAATGTGTAGATTTACGCAGGCCATACAGCACGGAAACCTGCCACTCAGCCCAACCAGTCCATGCAGTGCTTATACCCATGAGTCTTCGACAAAATAAGAATTAATTGCTCTCAGCATCTTAATTATTGTACCATGTGACTATCAGGAAGGTAGAAAGCGAACAAGATGGATCTTTGTCTTTTTTCATCTAGGGATTCGTATGTTCCAATGTTCACCAGCTCCTCCCTCCCTCCCACACCCCTCTATTCCCTTTCCCTCACATGAAGGTCTGGCTTCCTCTTGATTTTATCTACACTATCTGATTCAACCACCATTTGGGACAGAGAGTTCCACAATCTCACTTCTCTCTGCGCGAAGCAGTTGCTCCTAAATTCTCTTATAGATCCCCTAGTCACTATCTTATACTAGTTACTGACTGGTTATGGACTCCCCAACCAGTGGGAACAGCCGATTGATGCTAACCCCTTTTAACATGGGTCAGCTCAGAAATATCTTTGATCTAGAGCGGAAAAAGGCCTAACCTATAGCTATATCAACATCTCCCCTACTGTAGCCCGCGATTACAGAACGGTAGAAGGCGAACAAGATGGACCTTGATGTAGCTACAGCCTATGCCGATAGCGATGTGCCGTGTTGTCGGGAGGACGGACAGACGGAGTGTTTGAAGCGACTCTGGATGAGAGAACTCGTGCTGCATTTACAACAAAGATCTGGCAAAGCCACACAGGGGGCAAGGGGTGGTGGGGAGGGGAACCATTACGGCAGATAGCAGGCAAATGGACAGATCAGTACGAAGCAGATTGGCACAAAGCCTTGTAGAGTTCATGTGTTCAGTAGAGGGAGCTGTCCACTTCTTCTCTCCAGCTTTCCTCTCCAAAGGCTTTGCTCCGACCGTCCCATCATATTCCCGTCTCCTGGGTGCTCTTTAACCCCTGCCACAAGAAATTATCATTAAGAAATGATATTAATATTTATTAATATTAATATTTAAATTCATGACTGTTTGTGGGACACTGGTGTGCACAATTGGCTGCCGCCGCGTTCTGCCCACAAAATACAATTAAACATTGACCTGAAACCCTAATTCACTTTCCTCTCTCCACAGATGCTCTCTGATCTGCTGAGTGTTCCCAGAGACTTCTGTTTTTATTTCGCTTTACAGTATACTCTGTGAAGCATTTTGAGAGGTCACAAGGATGCGATAAGGCACTGTATGAAATGCAAGGATTATTATCATTCCTAATAAAACGACAATGTTTGTCTGTCTGTGTGTCAGTGTATCTGACAATCATCCAATAACCGATTAATGTAGAGACATGATTGATGCCTCAGTGGAAAGCTCTTGCATCTGGCAGTGTCATGGGCATATTTTTGGGGGGACTCCTATCATTAATGAGCTATGTTAAAAAAATGCTTTAATTAAGCCCCAAAATATGAGATATGCACGTATTCTGCAACTACACAGTGACAGAGGAAAGCATACACCATTCAGAGAGATCTACGTTTACATTCTGCAACACTTTTTTTCTGGTTGTCATGGGAGCTGGAGTTCTCCCACGCGGGACCGACAGAGAGATAGCGAGAGAGACTGGGAATGAACCGGAAAGAGAGAGCAAGAGAGAGAAAATGGGAGAGATGTTGGTTGAGATGTATCAAAAGACCAAAGCAACCCAAAATAGTGGGGCAATCCTGCACCGTATAAATCATTGGTGAGACCACACTTAAGAGCACTGTGTACAGTTCTGGTCGCCGCAGTACAAAAAAAAGATATTGGAGAAATTGAGAGGTTATAGAGGAGGGCATGAATGAAAGGACTTGGCTACGAGGAGTGACTACGTAAATTGGGCACGTTCACACTGGAAAAGAGAAGATTGAGAGGTGACGTGATGGCTATCTTTAAGATTCTAAAAGGTTAAAACAATATAGATTATGGCAGTTTGTTTCAATTCGCCCTGAATAGTAGAATCAGAGGACATGGCCTGCGATTGAAGGGGGGGAATTCAGAACAAATCTATGCAAACACTATTTCAGTGAGCGAACAGTGAACCTGTGGAACAGACTCCCTAAGAAACACAGGTTAGGTAGTTTTCTTTCAGGAAATAGCATTATTGCCGCCAGACTACGGCACTACCTCACCCCTCACGCGGCTGAAACTCCGGTCCACGCCTTTATCACCTCAAGGCTGGACTATGGGAACTCTCTCCTCGCCGGCCTTCCCGGCCCTCCCTCCACACTGCAGGTCATAAAGAACTCTGCAGCTCGTGTACTGTCCCGCACCAGACACCGGGACCACATCACTCCCACCCTCGCCCTCACTCCCACCCTCGCCCTCGCTCGCCTCCACTGGCTCCCCATCCCCCAGAGGATTGAGTTCAAGATCCTCATCCTCACCTTCAGAGGATCCAGTTCAAGATCCTGGTCCTCACCTACAAAGCCCACCATGGCCTCGCCCCCACCCTACTTCTGCGACCTCCTAACCCCCTACCAACCCGCCCGCCCCCCCGCTCAGCCGGTTCCGGCTGCTCCACGTCCCCCGACCCACCCGCCCCGGCATTGGCGAGAGAGCCTTCAGCCACTCTGCTCCCAACCTCTGGAATTCCATCCCCCAGTCATTCCGCCTCCCCCCCTCCTTAGCCTCCTTCAAGTTCTGCCTCAAAACCCTCCTCTTCGACCATTCCATCAGCCACCCCCCTTCCCCTCCCCTCCCTTCTTCCCCCTTGACCCCAACTCGGGTCTGAAATACTGTACACTATCCAGCACCTTGGGATGTCCTCCTGATGTGAAAGGCGCTATACAAATGTAATCTTATTGTTGTCGTTGTTGAGGAGTGAGAGGTGGTGTGAGTGTAAATGACACTATGGGCTGACACCAGGAGCACGTACCTGTGTGGAAAAGGTTGAAAACTCTGAGTATTTAGAGGGTTTGGTCAGGCGGCACATATTGGTGCAGCAGTTGACGTATTCGTCTCTTATCTGTCAGAACAAGAGGAGATGAGGCTTTGCTTTAGTGTCAGACGGGCTTAGTCAGTGAGTACAAGACAATAGAAAATTACATTTCTATAGCGCCTTTCATATCGGGAGGACATCTCAAGGCACTGGACAGTCAGGGATTCAGACCTGAGCTGGGGGTCGGGATCGGGGAGGTTGGAGGGTAGGAGTGTGGCCGAAGGCTTGGTCGAAGAGAAGGGTTTTGAGACTCGCCTTGAAGGAGGCAGCAAGGGAGGGAGCAAGGCGAAGGGAATGTGGGATGGAATTCCATAGGGTAGGGGCAGAAAGTGACAGCCTGGCCGCCGATGGGGGAACGGGCCAGGCGGGGGACATGGAGCAGGCCACTGCCTGTTGATCGGAGGGAGTGGACAGGTTGATATGGAGTCAGTAGGTCTCAGAGGTAGGGAGGGGGGAAAGGCAGTGGAGGGCCTTGAAGATGAGGATATTAGCAGCTTGTATTTATATAGCGCCCTTCACGCAGCGCTGCACAGTGACAGGATCAGACTCCAAGTGAGGGAGAGGGGGGAGAGTGAGGTGACCATAGATGGGGTCGAAGAGGTAGGTCTTAAAGCGGGAGTTAAAGTTAGAAAGGGGTGAGACGACGGGGAGAGGGAGGGGAGGTGACTGGGGGTGGGAGGGTGAGGGACTGTGCGACAGCCTGTGTTAGCTGTGTGTTGGAGGCAGATAAAGGAGGAGGTAAGAGTGGATTAACAAGGTTGTGGGTTGAAGCCCACATGAGGATTGAGTTAAGATCACACCCTGCCTCCCTCCTTCTTATCCGTCATTTCCTTTTCGGGAATGGTTGTGGGGGAGGAAGTGAGAAGTGGGAGTGGGGCTGGGTATGGGATTGGGAGTGGGGTTGTTGTGGGGTTGGAAGTGGGGCTGGTGTTGGAAGTGGGATTGTGATGAGAGATGGGGGTGAGGGGGCTGAGGAGGGGGAGTGATGAGCAGCACCTGCTTGTTGAAGAGACAGTGCAGGATGAAGATGAAGACCCCCTGGCCGCTGTTGATGATGGTGAAGATATACGTCATCACAATGGTGTCATCCTGGAAATGGAACACCCCGATTAGCCAGGTACAGCCGAGGAGACACAGCTGAGCGATGGCCGTGAAGGTGAACATTCTGAGCAGAAGGAAAACGAGAACGTCAGAATCATGGAATATTACAGCACAGAAGGAGGCCACGTGGAGTCCTGTAGCTCAGTGGTTAGACCACTCGCCTTCCAAGCGAGACACCTGGGTTCAATCCCAGACAGGGCGAAACCTTGGGCAAGTTTCCTGACTCCACACCCCTGATAGTAATCCCTCCAAAAACAAAAATAAATCGGTCATTTCAATCCACGACTGTTTGTGGGACGCCGCTGTGCGTAATTGGCTGCTGCGTTTCGCCCACAAATATAGGGTCAATTCACTTTACAGTATATTCTGCGAAGCGCTTTGAGACGTCGAGAAGACGTGAAAAGCGCTATATCAAATGCAAGGATTGTTATTATTGTATTATAGTATTATTATTCGGGCCATCGTGCCTCTTTGGAAGAGCTGTCCAATTGTTTCCTTTTCAAGTGCACATCTAATTCTCTTTTGAAAGTAGTTATTGAATCTGCTTCCACCACCCTATCAGGCAGTGCTTTCCAGACCGTGACAACTCTCGGTGTGTAAAAAAAAATTCTCCTCGTCTTCCCTCTGGTTCTTTTGCGTGTTAAATCGTTGTGCCCTGGTTACTAACCCACCGACCCACCCAGTGGAAACAGCTTCTCTCTGTCCGCTCTATCAAAATCCCTCATAATTTTGAACACCTTTATTAAACCTCCCCTTAACCTTCTCTGCTCTAATGGGAACAATCCCAGCTTCTCTAGTCTCTCCACATAACTAAAGTCCCTCATAGAATTGCTGGACGAATGAAAGCTAAGATCCATCCAGTTCGCCTTCCACCGTGTCATGTCCCAAACTTTATATTGGGTCGGTCACCCTCCTTCCCCAACCCTCCCTGCACTCCATTCCTCCTGATCCCAACCCCCAGCTTGGGTCCAGATCCCTAACTGTCCAGCGTTGGGAGGACATCTTCCCAACGCGAACCCCATGTAAATATCATTTGTTGCTGTTGTTGGTGGTATTCCAAAATATTATTTCCTAACAGAACTCGATCGAATTTCGTTTTTTAAAAAAAAAAATCGACACTTTCTGCTTCCACCATCTCCCGAGTGAGCCGGTTTACTGCTCGTTCACTGGAGTTGTGTTTCCAAGATTTGTTTTGAATTTACCCCCACTTCAATCGCAGGGCGTGTCCTCTGGTTCTACTGTTCAGTGTAAGGTAGAACAGCTTATCATGGTCTACATTGTCCAGGCCCTTTAGAAACCTAAAGACCGCAATTGTAGCTCAGTGGTTAGAGCACTCGCTTTGCAAGTGAGAGACTGAGTTCAATCCCAGGCAGAGGGCGAAACCTTGGGCAAGTTTCCTTACTCCACACAGAGCCTAATAATAATCCCTCCAAAAAACAAACAAAAAAAATAATAAATTGGTCATTTTAAATCCACGACTGTTTGTGGACATTGCTGTGCGCAATTGGCTGCCGCGTTCGCCCACAAATATACAGTCAATTCACTTTACAGTGTGTTCTGTGAAGCGCTTTGGGACATCCTCCCGATGTGAAAAGCGCTATATCAAATGCAAGGATTATTATTATTAATCCTATCACCTCTCAACCTTCTCGTTTCCAGGGTAAACGTGCCTAGTTTACGTAATCCATTTAATAAGATGATGGGTTTCAGTACAGGTGACACAGCGCATTTCATGTCAGGAGGACATCCCAGGGTGCTTAGCAATCCTATCTGGGGGTGGGAGCACAGGGGGTTGGGGTTGGGGGAGTGGTGGGGGGAAGATGACCAAATGTGCCGTCAAAGCGAGGGACCTTGTGACGGATTTGAACAAGCGCTTCGAGATGCCATCCGGCATGAAGGGTGCTATATAAATGCAAGTTATTGTTATTGTCGTTGAGTGAAGTGAGTGACCAGGTTGGTACGGTTTTAGCGGGGAACGAGGACTTGGAACTCCATCCACTGAAGGGACCGGGCAGCCATCACTTACCTGACTTTCCTTAAATTTTCCATGTCTGGGTTAAGAGTTGAAAACTTCTTCGCCAGCTTGTACACCATGATGACAAAGATTGTCGCATTAATCTGTCCAAAAGGGAGAAAATAGGTCAATAAAAGGCTTCACATCAACAACCAAATGTGGATCCCTGCAGCTTAGTGGTTAGAGCACTCGCCTCGCAAATGAGAGGACTTGGGTTCAACTCCCGGACAGGGCAAAACCTTAGGCAAGTTTCCCAACTCCACACCCCTCTGTTTACCGAGCAGTACTTAGGAACCCGGTTGTTAGTTGATTGGTGGATTGCTTTCTGGGGGTAATGATCCCTTTAAAAAAAACAAAAATGACTATTTGTGGGCAATTGGCTGCTGGGTTTCATTCACAAAATACACAGTCAATTCACTTTACAGTATATTCTGTGAAGTGCTTTGCGACGTGATAAGGGTGGACATTGGTTGAGGACACTATTGGGTGGCAAAGAGCCTACTATTACTCAGAGCTTAATAATAACCAGAAGATCACAAGATCAGTTGGATGAAACAGGGTGACATCTGTGAGCTTCACAGTGACAGAGTCAGACACCGAGCGAGGGAGAAGGGGGCTTGGTCGAAAAGGTAGGTCTTAAAGTGGGAGCTATCTAAAGTTAGATAAAGAGGGCGCAAGACAGAGGGAGGGAGTTCCGGATTTTTTTTTGGTGGGGGGAGAGGACGGTGGCTGAAGGATTTTTATTATAAGGTTGAAGGAGTCCTTTGACCCCTCCACTCCACCATCCCCAGCCGTGCTTTCAGCCATTACACCCCAAGCCTCTGGATCTCTCTACCTCAATCCCTCCACCTGACCCCCTCTTTGCCCATATTCAGATATGCCTACTCTTCCACTGTTCAGCGCTCCGAGATGCTACCCCACATGTAAATGCAAGTGGCTGTGCTGTCATCAGCAGTGCCCTGGAATACTGCTTAAGTGTGTTCAAGCATCCTTTACAAGTAAACTTACCAAAATAATTACGCACACAGGTGCCACGAAAGCCCACAGCCACCCTGACTTGAAATCCAGCCAACAACTAGGAGAGAGAAAGGTCACAGTCAAAAGACTTGTTATCTTATCTATTGTGTGATGGAAGAGACAGTCCGCTAGGTTTCCTGCTCCAGGTCCTGCAATTCTCCATGCTCTTAGCTTTAGAAGCATAGAACCATAAGGCGCTTTATATCAAATGCAAAAAATATTATTATTATTATTACAGAAATTGACAGCACAGAAGAAGGCCAAGAAGAGCAATTCTTTCAGTCCCATTTAACCACCATTTAACCAGTTCCCCCCCCCACCCCCATACTCTTGTCTTAATACGGAATCTGCCTCAACCACTGCTCCTAGACGGGTGTTCCATATCCAATCCATTCTGGGTGTGAAAAAAATTTCTCCTAATCTTCAGTCTTGTTTTCATCCATCCATAGAATAACAATAATTCTTGCAAGCCTTAGCTCTTGCCAACTGCGCCTAATACTCTCCAGATTTAGGTAAGCAGGGAGAGAGAGAGAGAGAGAGAGAGAGAGCGCATCCCATTCCAACAATCTATCTCTGGGATTTCCAGGTGTAGGTGGGATGCAGGGAATTATCAGTTTGGTTTGGAGACTCTTTTGAAGCGCTTTGGGACGTCCTCCCGACGTGAAAAGCGCTATATCAAATGCAAGGATTATTATTATTATTATTAAGCAACGGTCATGGGTTTCCGCGTGTGTCAGACACTCGGCTGACACCCGAAAAAATCCTTGCATTCGATAAAAGCAGCTTTCACGACAGGAGGAACATCTAAAGTGCTTCACAGGATGTACAGTCGAGTGACTATGCTTCGGTGCATTGTTGGAGTGCCGTCTTTCAGTCGAAGATGTTAAAAGCATCCCCACCCACTGGCTGCCTGTTCAGGTGAACGTTAAAGATCCTGTAGCGCTGTTGGAAAAAAAGGGAGTTTCTCTCTCTCTCGGTTTTCCTGGCCGACAGTCCCCCCAAATAAAACTAGTGCGCACTGTGAAGAGCTTTGAGACGTGAAAGGAGCATTACCAGATGTAAGGATTATTATTATAGAATAATTGCTTTATAAATATTATCTTGTGATGATCTCATTATCTTATAGGACTCACTAGTTCTCGGCCACGTATCCCTCGGAGATGGCTACGGAGATCCCGACGATGAGCAGGGGGAGCCCGTAGCCGAAGATGACCATGTATCGTGGCCGCAGGCTCTTTGTGTGGAAGACCTGCACCACCATGACGTACAGTTGCACTCCCTCCAGCAGCATCCAGGAGAAGCACACCAATAACAGGTAGTGCAACGTGCCAGCAATAACAAAGCACATAACCTGCGAGACACAAGCAGCACTGCAGTGTGAGGTGCTGAGCTGTCACTGCCAGTCGCTGGAACAGGACAAGGGGGACATTTTTAGCCCCTGTAACCAGTCTCTCTGTGTGACGTGGGTGATTGTAAACAACAACAACGACACATTGCATTTACACAGCTCCTTTTATGTCGGGAGGATGTCCCAAAGTGCCGGGCGGGGGATGTGGAACAGGCCGGAGCCCGCTGAGCGGAGGGAGCGGACAGGTCTGTACGACAGAATCAGCAGGTTACAGTGGTACTAGCAAGGCTGGGGTGGGCCTTGAAGACGGGGATGAGGATGTTGAAGGCTATCTTCTGGGGGACGGGGAGCCAGTGGAGCCGAGCGAGCATGGCGGGGGAGATAGGGTCACAAGCTCAGTCTCAGGTTGTTGGGTCCGTGTCGAATCCAGATTCAGATTGAGCCACACGTGTGCGTGAGTATCCTATGACGTGAATCAAAGCAAAGTGTTGTGAAGTGGAATCACCACAACATAGACATCACCTACGTGTGTCTGAGTACATTGGAAACACTGGGCCTGTAGGAATATTCCACATTCAGTTCAAACTCACAGCAATTACGCAATAATCCATTGATTTTCAAATGCAACTGTCATCAAGCTGGTAAACTTGCTCATGTATAACAGATCCATTTCCATGCGAAGGAGATACGAGGGGGGAAGTTACCCTCATGTAAATACATGGAAAACAGTTCCTGGGATTTGCGTGTCTTACCAATTGACGTCATTATATAGTCACTCAAAAACAGGTATTAAGTGAGTATATTTGTTTTGTTTGATTATTATCATGGAGTCCTGTAGCTCAGTGGTTAGAGCAGTTGCCACGCTAGCAGGAGACCTGGGTTCTGTTCCCGGGCAGGGAAACACATTGGGCAAGTCTCCTTACTCCACACATCTCTGCTTACCGAGCAGTAAGTAGGAACCCGGTTGTTAAGTCGATTGGCGGATTGCTTTTCCGGGAATAATAATCCCTCAAAATCGTTTTAAAAAAAGGATAATTTGGTCACCCAACCCATGACTGTTTAGGACGCTGCTGTGTGCAATTGGCTGCTGTGCTGTGCCCACAAATATACAGTCGATTCACTTTACAGGACATTCTGTGAAGCGCTTTGTGACGTCCAGGAGACGTGAAAAAGCGCTGTATCAAATGCAAGGATTATTATTACTCAGACGAGTATTATTTTAGATGGCCATTTCAATTTTTGAATGTTTTGTGAAACCCTCCTAGAAAACAACGTTACTGAGGGTCTTTGCGAGCTCTATGGTTCGATAGCGCTGTGTTAAGCGCTCCGAGATGAGGGCCCACGTGAAATCCACTATGTAAGTGCACGTTGATGTTGTTGTTGTTGTTGTGGTGGTGGTGGTGTTAGGTGACTGAATGTCACCAGTCTCTGGTCTCTGTGTTATGTCATCCCTCCCTTCCCTCCTTCAAGGCGCCTCTCAATACCTTCCTCTTCGCCGACGCCTTCAGTCGCCCACCTAACCCTACCCTTCCTGCGCTCCACCCCTCCTGATCCAAACCCCAGCTCAGGTCCAAAGTCCCTGACTGTCCAGCGCCTTGGGACGGATGTCCTCCCGATGTGAAAGGCGCTGTATAAATGTCATTTGTTCTTGTCATTAGGTGACTGACTGTACAGTGTGTGAGGTGAGTGATAGTAAGCCATGCTCTGTTGTTCTCTCACCTGGTTCTCTGTCCGTGAGATGCCCACAAGGAACAGCAGCTCTGCCAGGAACAGGCTGAGGCACAGGTGGGTGTGGATGGTAGTCCGCACGCCCTTGATGGAGCGGCAGAAGATGAAGGTGAAGAGGGCGATGGCGAGGCAGATCAGGGAGACGATGATTCCCACCAAGGTGATGACATTGAGGCTGTGAACATGGTCCTTTTGGACACACAAACCCAGTTGTGATCAGTCACTCACTCCACGGCTGTTTGCAGGATGTCGCTGCGCGCAAATTGGCTGCCGCGTTCGGCCTACAAACACACAGTCACTCCACTCCACAGGAAACTCGCTTTGAGACGTCCTCCCGACGTGAAGGGGGCTGCATTAAATGCAAGGATTGTTAACTGTTATAACAAGAGTGGTTTGTGGAAAATGGTTCAAACTCCACATCTGCCTGACAGTCCAGGCTGACAGTCTAACACTGCAAGCCAAGGCCCTAATGGTTGGGATGATCCGAGCTGGACAAGCAGCGGGAAAGCTGGCCAGACAGCGCTCTCAATGACCAAGCTGTGTGGCTTTAGCTGGTTAGACTCCAGCAGCTACCCCCAACGCACACTCTGGCTTCCCCAAGCCTTGGCTCTCGCCAACCTGAGCCTAACACTCCTCGGAATAGGTAAACAAGATACGTCCAGTGAGAGAGAGAGAGAGTGAGAGAGAGAGAGAGAGAGAACCCACAATCTTCTGACTGAGAGGCAGCACTGCCCGGGACCCACCTTCAAGTCGTGGAAAGCCATGAGGACAGCGAAGCTGGCCACTCGTCTGCTGCTGCACTCGATGTGCGTCTTGTTGGCCCGCAGCACGACGCAGCCATTAGTTGACCAGATTCCCTCCTTCAGGTCCCAGCTCACGCACTGCAGTTGGCTTTTGTTCACGTTCTAAAAATAAACAAAAGATGGCGTGTCAGTCTGGCTGACTCAGCAACGGTCTCTCCTCCGAGTCAGAAGGTTGTGGGTTCAAGCCCCCACATAATGATAATCCTTGCACTTGATAAAGTGCCTGATCATGTCGTCGAGATGCCTCAACGATCTTTGTAGGATATACTGTAAAGTGTAGTGACTGTGTATTTTATGGGTGAACCGTGACAGCGTATGCGCATAGCAGTATCCCACAAACACTCACAGAATCAGTACTGATGTTTATCTCGGGGATTGTCAGCCGGGACCCCGAGAGAGAGAAATTCTCTGCTCATTTTGAACAGCGCAGACGGGAGCTCGGTTTAACCTCTCATTCGAAGGACGTCACCTCAGACAATGCAACACCTTCCCCAGCACTGCATTGGAGCGTCAGCTTAGAGTAGGTGAGTCAGACCTGAACACACGAGCTCCTGGCTGTGCCAGGATGACACACTACATATTTGGCTGACACTCCAATGCAGTGCTGGACGGGGGCTGCAATGTCAGAGGTGCTGTAAGCATCAATAGGCTGTCCCACTGGTTGGGGAATCTATAACCAGGGGACACAAGTATAGAGGATCTAAAGGAGAATTTAGGAGGAACTACTTCCTGCAGAGGGCAGTGAGGTTGTGGAACTCGCTGCCTGAAGTGGTGGTGGAAGTAATCAAGAGGAAGCCAGACCTGCACATGAGGAAGTAGAAGGTGTGGGAAGGAGTGACAAGCGACGGTAGGTTTCTGGGGAGTATAAACATCGGCGGGGACTGGTTGGGCCGAGCGGTCTATTTCACTGCTGTACGTTCTTTGTAAATCTTTGTAAAGTCCTGATGTGGAGGCTTGAAGCCACCACTTCAGCAACCGACAGCACAGAAAGGAGGCCATTTGGCTCATCGTGTCAGTGCTGCTTCTTTTAAAAGAAGAATCCTTTCAGTCCTGTTTACCTGCCCTTTCCGCGATCCACACCCCTGCAGTTAACCTTCTGGTCTTGAGGCGAGACCACTACCAAGTGAGTGAGACTGGCACTTAATAATAGCACATCGCACACTGCGTTTCACTCCTTTGTGATATTAGTACATTACGCACTGGGTTTTCTCCCCTTACGATACCAGGACATCACCCAGTGTTTTCCAGGCAGATGTCAGTGTACAGACCTGTTGTCTGTTTCGCAAAGTGAGTGTGACTGGCTCCAGCAGCTCATTGCTCTGGTTGTTGCTGATTGCCAGGGTGACGATATCCGAGACCACATCCGCAGGGTCGGTCTGGTTATTGTGGAAGCTGCCGTTGATGATAGAGTCCAGGTTCTTGTAGGAGATGAGGGCGACGGAGGCAGAATCTGCAAAAACCACACATTGAACCGTCAACGTCAACAGAACTGGAGACTTTACAACTGCTAATTCACCTCTAGAACCCCCGGAGATTGTATCACAGTCTGAAGACCCTTCGACCCATCTGATCTTATTCCTCCCCAATGCTCGCCCTTAGAACCCTTATCACTGCATCGAGCAGTGGCCTCCTGGCCTCAACCCTCCTTACCTGGCCACCTTGTTCCTGTGTCAGCATGCCAGTGTATATCTGTGTAAGTATCCAAGTAAAATGTCTGGGTATACGTGTGAGTGTGTGTGGAGGTGCACCAGAGTCTAAAGATAGCATCAGTCTGTGTATGTGTGTGCAGTGTATGTGTGTGTGTGCGTGCGAGCGTGTGAGTGTGTGAGTATGTGTGTGTGTGGGGGGGGGAGGGGTATAATAATAATCCTTTCATTTATTGTAACGCTTTTCATGTCCTCGAGACGTCTCAAAGCGCTTCACAGAATACACTGTAAAGTGAATTGACTGTATATTTGTGGGCGAAATGTGGCAAATGTGTATGTGCGTGTGTGTGTGTTTATGTGAGTGTGTATGTACCTGAGTATGTATAGTAGTGTATAATGATAGTATTAGTCTCTGTGCACAGCCACAGTGAAACTCTGTGGGTTATATCCTGTAAACAGCTGTGAAACGCAGCCACAGAGATACAAAACATTGGGAGCCGTCGAACAGACTGACCAAAACTTTCGTTTCTTGTCACGCTTTTCCAGGAAATATCCAGGCTGTTCCCCCCGGCGGATAGCCTCGTGTTTTTCTCCTCTGGGATTTTGTTGTTGTGGATTGTTTGCATTTCCACCTCTGTGACGGAGACACAGACAGAGAGACGATCAGACAGCCAGACAGACAGCAACAGATATAGACACAGACAGAACAGTCAGACAGAGTCAGACAGAGACACAGACAGACAAGCAGACATAGAGACAGACACAATGACAGACACATAGACAGACATAGAGACCGCCAGACAACCAGACATAGAGACAGACATAGAGACAGACAGACATAGAGACAGACAGACATAGAGACAGACATAGAGACAGACAGACAAGAGAGTCACTTCCGGCTGACTGACTGATTGTCCCTGCTCCCGAGAATAGTGATAGGAATATCGGATGGTCGGAGGGCAATAACTGGACCCACGTTCAGTGTCTCATCTGGAGGGCAGCATCTCCGGCAAACAAACCCACCCCCAACACTGCTTGGGAACCCAGGCTTGGACTGCGTGAGCTGAAAGTCCCACCGTGGGGGCTCCAACAGCAGCAACAACACAGAGCATTGATACAGTGAGCTGTATACAACCAATGACGTTTACACACCCCCTTTCACATCGGGAGGACATCTCAAGGCGCTGGACAGTCAGTGATTTGGACCTGAGCTGGTGGTTGGGATCAGGAGGGGTGTAGGGCAAGGAGGATTGGGGTAGGAAGGTGACTGAAAGTGAGGTCGAAGAGAAGGGTCTTGAGGCCATGAAGGAGGCGAGGGAGGGAGTGAGGCGGAGGGACTGTGGGATGAAGTTCCAAAGGGCGGGGGCAGAAAGTGCACAGTCAATTCACTTTACAGTATATCCTGTGAAGCGCCTTGAGACGTCCCAACCGCATGATAAGGCGCGATATCAAATGTAAGGATTATTATTATTAATACTTACCAAACAGGCTGGAGGAGAAATTCTGTTTCTCCTCATGACCTAAGGTGCGCGCGAGCATCAGGACATGCTTCTTGACGTCTTGCAGCAGCTTCGAGATCTGCTGGTGACAGTCTGTGTGGTCCTTACAGTTATTTATGTTTTCCATTTGACCAGCAAAGTTGATCTCCTGTTGGCACAGAGACACGTGTAGGTGGCACGCAGGAGTGTGCAGGTGGCATACGTGGAAGTCTCAGGCTGGTTTGAATATCTTAAGCACAGTGACGGGTTTCCACATGTATTACATGCTGTGAACCCTACAGACCCAAATTTCTTAACACTCATTGCCTTGAGACCTTCTGCTCTGTAATATCACAGTTTTTCTATCCCTTTGACTTCGGACACAAGATCAATCCATAAGAAGAAGTCCCTTCGGCCCACCTGATCTCACCGCCCCCACAACACCCCCCCATCACAGCATCCAGCTGCTTTTTAAACGAGTCCCAGTATCCTGGCCTCAACCCCACTTACTGGCCACCCTGTTCCGGTCATAATAGCACATAGAAACATAGGAACAGGAGTAGGCCATTCAGTCCTTCAACCCTGTTCTGTACCTCTTCAAAAAATGTAATTAGATTTGTCAGACATGACCTACCCTTCACAAATCCATGTTTGATTTGTTGAAGTGCTCTGAGATTCTACCCCACATGAAGGGCACTAAAGAAATGCAAGTTGTCGTTGTTGCTCGTACTTGTCCAAGTTCTCAGTCACTCCATCCCTGATGAGACATTCCAGTGTTACCTGGTTTCTCCCTCACTCCCTTCTTAAATAATGGAATGACATTTACAATTTTCCAATCCCAGGGCACAATGCCCGAATATAGAGAGCTTTGGAAAATTACGACAAATGCATCTGCAATGCAATCCCCTCCCCATTTAATACCCTGGGGTGGAATCTACCAGGTCCTGGAGATGTGTCTATCTTTCGTCCCATTATTTTATAATAAATCCACTTAGTACTTCTCTTTGGCTTATTATTAGGTTCCCTTGTGCTGCTGGTATTTTATCCTCTTCCTCTACTGTGAAAACAGAAGTAAAGTATTTATTCAACAAGTCTGTTGTCCATTATAGTCTCACCTACATCTGTCTTTATCAGCCCACATTCCCCTTTACAACTCTCTTTCTCTTAATATATTATGAAATTTTTTACCATTGTCCTTGATATTCCTTACAAGTTTTTTGTCCACCTCTTATTATTTTCTTTGCATCTCTTCGTTGTTATTTATAGCTCTCCCAGTCCATTGGATTTCCACTTTTTCTTGCGTTAATGAAAGCCTTTTCTGTTAGTTTGATGAGATAGCTTTTAGTTTGTTAATTATCCTCTGGGTAAAGAAAAACTTCCTGGTGCCTGTCCTGAAATTGCCTCTTTGCAACTCTAAACCTATGTCCTGTCTGCCCCTATCCGCTGGAACTCTGCCCCCACCCTCTGGAATTCCATTACACAGTCCCTCCACCTCCATTGCCTCCATCTCGAGACCCTCCTCTTCGATCGTGCTTTTGATCACCCCCCCCGCTCTAAACCTCCCCAATCCTGTAGAGTGTGGAGTCCTGTAGCTCAGTGGTAGAGCACTCGCTTTGCAAGCGAGAGACCTGAGTTCAATTCCAGGCAGGTCAGGGCGAAACCTTGGGCAAGTTTCCTTACTCCACACAGAGCCTAATAATAATCCCTCCAAAACCAAAAACAATAATAAATTGATCATTTTCAATCTACGACTGTTTGTGGGACATTGCTGTGCGAAATTGGCTGCCGCGTTCGCCCACAAATATACAGTCAATTCACTTTACAGTGTGTTCTGTGAAGCGCTTTGGGACGTCCTCCCGACGTGAAAAGCGCTATATCAAATGCAAGGATTATTATTATTATTTATTAATCCTGACGCCCAGCTTGTGTCTGAAACTCTGACCGTCCAGTGCCTTGGGATGTCCTCCCGACATGAAAGGCATTATACACATGTCATTTTGTTGTCGTTGTTGTTCTACTGTTTTGATACATCAAATTGGGAGAGTTATCAATTATAATACAAGGAACGTGTAACCAACTGTAGATCAGGAATTACAGGGAAGCTTTACAGTGTGGAAATAGGCCATTTGGCCCGTCTAGTCCATGCCAGAGTTTACACTCCATACATTCTCCTTCTCCCACCGCTCACCCCTCCTTGATTCCCTTCTCCTTTCGTCTATGCATCAATCTTACCTGCAAATGCACAGTCACTACACTTCACAGTAACAATTCTGTGAAGCACTTTGAGATGTCTCGACAATGTGACAACAACAATAAACAACAACAAATTACATTTACGCAGAGCCTTTCATGTCAGGATATGGAGGCGAGCTGGTGGTTGGGATCAGGAGGGACGGAGGGCAGGGAAGGTGGGGGTGAGAGGGTGACCGAAGGCACGGTCAAAGAAGAAGGTATTGAGATGGGCCTTGAAGGGGGCAAGGAAGGGAGAGAGGCAAAGTGGAATGGAGTTCCAAAGGGTGGTGGGGGGGGTAAAGAAGCTGAAGGCCCAACCGCCAACGGTAGGGGTGGGCAGGCGGGGGGTGTGGAACAGGCCGGAGCCCACTGAGCAGAGGAAGCGGAAGGGTTGGTATGGAGTCAGCAGGTCATAGAAGTAGGGAGGAGCAAGGCTTTGAAGGCGAGGACGAGGATTTTGAACTCTGTCCTCGGGAGTCAGTAGATCTGGGTGAGGATGGTGGGGTTCACAAGGCACTATATTAAATGAAAGAATTAATATTACAAGTCCTGTTGTGATATAAAGTTTCCTCTTAAACATGCTGATGCTTTCTGCTTCAACCAAGGCTTGTTTGCAGTGAGTTCCATTGGTTATACATCGACGCATTACATCAAAGGAAAGAAGGATGTGGGTGACTTACGTTTATTGAAGGGTATTTAGTTTCATTCTTGGATGAGCAGCCAGATCCGTCTGTAATATAATAAACCCAAGTCAGACAGCTCCACGTACAATGAGGATGGATGTGGATGGTGGGGTGGTCGCAATGAGGACCGATCAGAGCTCCGAGCGAAGAGTGGTGATATTATTCTTCAACACAATCTCTGGGCATTTTACAAGTGTCTCTCTATCTCCTGTCTCTCAGTGTATCTTTCCCTCTATCTCTGGTCAGCTCTCTCTCTCTCTCTCTCTTATACCTCAATGTGTTCTCTCTTGCTCTCTCACTCTCCGTCTTTCTCTCTCTCTTCATCTCTTATTCCTCAGTCTCTCCTTCATCTATATCTATCTCCATTTCTCATCCTTTACACTCTCTCCCCCCTCTCTCTCTCTCTCTCTCTCTATTCCTTGTCTCTCTCTTTCTTGCTCATCACTCAGTCTCTCTCTCCATCTCTTGGCCCTCAGTACCCAAGATCCAAGTTAGCTGAGTGGGGGTGGCTTCCTGACATGAAAGACACTGCGTAAATGTAAATCTGTGCTATGATGTGATATTATTAAGTGATTAGATAAACTGAACACGTTAGGGAGGCCGAGAGGCGGTATGATTGCATTTCCAATCAGGAAAGAAACTTCAAAGACTCCAATCTGCGACCCACCTTATCCTCACCCATACCAAGCTCCCCACCTCAATTACCCCAATCCTCACCAGGCTCCACTGGCTTCCCGGCTTCGAAAGGATTTGATTTCAAACTGAACAACCAGAAGCAGAAGTACAGCGCCATTGCTCTGGGATTGATTACAACGAAGCAACAAATTACATTTACACAGCGCCTTTCACATCAGGAGGACGTCACAAGGCATTGTCAGTCAGGGATTTGTGTCTGAGCTGGGGTTTGGGATTAGGAGGGATGGAAGGCAGGGAAGGTAAGGTTAAGAGGGTGACTGAATGCGCTGTCAAAGAGGAAGGTCTTAAGTCGTTCCTTAAAGGAGACAGGGGATGGAGTGACGCGAAGGGACTGTGAGGTGGAATACCAAAGGATGGGAGCAGAATTCCAACAGGAGTACAGCGCCATCGCTCTGAGATTGACTAGAGGGCAATTTTACCTTCAGAGTGATTTGTTGTGTTGTTGCGGGAGGCAGAACCTGGATCAAACGTGCAGTGGAAACTTCCCTCCGTATTGTGACAAGTTTCGTTGGAGCCACATGGGCTGCTTTCACACTCGTCGCGATCTGTAATAAGAAAATCCAAGTAATTGTTGTTTGTGTAAAAACAGCCACAGTTTCAGGGACTGTGGACTTTCTGTGATAAGATCAAAAGATGCGTTTAGCATGGACTATAAGTTTGGTAATTGTATGGTTCTTTGACCCACACTATCTCCACCCTGGATTTCAACTGACTACCTCCCTCCCTCATATAATTTATGGTCTGTCTCAATGACTTCCTCTTTGACCACGCACATAAGATACAAGATGGATTTGGATGAAGAAGTCCCTGCAGTCCATCTGATCTCATCACCTCGACAACATCCGTCCAACCATCCACCCATTAACAGCATCAAGAGGTTTCTTCAATGAGTCCAGCGTCCAGGCCATGCCATCCCATGAAAATTCTTGTACATCTCTACATGGCCAACTCTAAGACATCTTCTTTTAAGCCTAAAAGGCCTCCAGATTCTCTCAACATTGTTGAACAGCAACAACAACAAATTGCATTGATACGTTGCATTTCTTGGGGGGGGATGTCCCAAGGGGCTGGGCAGTCAAGGATTTGGATCTGACCTGCAAGTTGGTGTCAAGGGGGTGAAGATGGAAGGCTGATCAAAGCCAAGGTCGAAGGGGAGGGTCTTGAAATGGGCCTTGAAAGGAGTCATAGGAGGGAGCGTGGATGAGGGGCTTGGGATGGAGTTCCAGAGGGTGGGGGCAAAAAGGCTGAAGGCCTGACCGTTAATGGTGGCGTGGGCATGGCGGGGACGTGGAGCAGGCCAGTGGCCGCTGAGCAGAGGGAGTGGACAGTTTGGTATGGTTCTCGGAGGTCACAGAGGTGGAGCAGAGCAATGCCGTGGATGGCTTTAAAGGTGAGGACAAGGATCTTGAACTCGATCCTCTGGGGGATGGGGAGCCAGTGAAGCCTGGTGAGGATCGGGGTGATCGGTCCATGGAGCCTAGTGTTGAGAGGGAAATGCACACCTGGGGGTCGGCTTTGTATTATGAATTCTTCTTCTTAATAATAATATTAATCCGTGCATTTTGAGGATTCGCTGTAAAGTGCAGTGACTGTGTTTTGTGAGAAAAGACAGCAGCCAATTTTGCACACAGTCATGTCACACAAAGAGCCATGGAGTTGTGGAGTCCTGTAGCTCAGTGGTGAGAGCACTCGCTTTGCAAGTGAGAGACCTGAGTTCAATCCCAGGCAGAGGGCCAAACCTCGGGCAAGTTTCCTTACTCCACACAGAGCCTAATAATAATCCCTCCAAAAAACAAACAAAAAAAATAATAAATTGGTCATTTTGAATCTACGACTGTTTGTGGGACATTGCTGTGTGCAATTGGCTGCCGCGTTCGCCCACAAATATACAGTCAATTCACTTTACAGTATATTCTATGAAGCGCTTTGGGACGTCCTCCCGACGTGAAAAGCGCTATATCAAATGCAAGGATTATTATTATTATTATTAGTGACTAATTGTGTCTGGGGGATCGTCGGCCAGGACACTGGGAGAGAGAAACTTCCTTCTCTTTTCGAATAGCGCCGTGGGATCTTTGACATCCACCTGAACAGACAGACGAGACCTCGGATTAAAGTTTCATCCAAAGGACGGCAGTCAGTGTACAGTGCATTGTTGCAACAAGAATGATTTCATCTTATTCTTAAGAAACCAAGGGTCAAAGACGCACCCTCAGACATACATTGCGATAAAGCTTTCGATAGCCACACTCAAAGCCAAACAACAACAACGTGCATTTATACACTGCCCCTCACACAGTGTAGCTCCCAGAGCACAAACAGTACATGCAATGGTCTCCACAGGGATACGAGCCGGGCACATGCCGAGGAAGGCGACTGCAGGACATGAAGAAGGAGCAGGGAATGGGGATATGGGTGGATGGTTTGTTGGAGGAGCAAACACTGGCACAAACAATGTGTTGCCCATTTCCATGGACGGGACAGATATGGAGCAACGACAGCAGATGTCAAGGAAGATCAAAGCCAAACAGAAGCGCAGTGCCATCGCTGAGGGATTGTCTGAGAGGGACAGTCAAGTCTTCACCTTTACAGTAATTCATTGTGGTGTTGAAAGAAGGTGTTCCAGTGTTGGAGACAAACCCTTTGTCACATTCACACCGGAAACCTCCCTTTGTGTTGTGACAAGTTGCGTTGGATCCACACGGGACGGACTGACACTCATTGATATCTGTAATAAAAACATCTGATGATAAAGGATCACAGCTCCGAAATAAGCCCAGGAAAGGGAACTCATAAAAATACAAGTTTGTTTATCGTTCTCCTCTCTTTTTGCACTCTCTCTCTCTCTTTTTCCTTCTTCCTCTATCTTGCTTTCTTTTTCTATCTCTATCTATTTCCTCTATCTCTCTTTTTCTATTCCGCGCTCTTTCTTTCTTGTTCTTTCTTTGTTTTTTTCTCTCCCCTTTGCTTGCTTTCTTTCCAGCTTCTAAAGCAGCCTCATTCTACTCTGAATACGAGACATTACTGATGGGAGCACGGGGTCAAACATGTCAACATGTCATTGAGACGTCTCAAAGAGCTTCACAGGAATTGCTGTAACTTGACTGCATTAATGTGAGCGAAAGACGGCAGACAGTTTTGCGCAAAGCAACATCCCACAAACAGCCATGGAGTGGGAGACCAATTGTATTTGGGTGATTGTCAGCCAGGACACTGGGGGAGAGAGACAATCTCCCTTTCTTTTCCAACAACGCTGTGGGATCCTTAGCTTCCACCTGACCAGGGCACAGACAGGAGCTCGGTTTAACATCTCACCTGAAGGACGGCACCTCTGACAATGCAGCGTTTCCCCCCCACCCAGCACTGCACTGGAGCATCAGCTTAGTCTCTATAGGCTGCAAAGCCTGACATGGGGGGCTCGAGGCCACAACTTTCTGACTCCGAGGCGACAGCACTACCAACCGAGCCAGGCTGAGATGTCTCTCGCGTTCCACAGTTTGAAGGCAGCAAAATGTTGATGCATTCGTACATCTGGGACAAAAGAATTGTCACCTTGGGGTTAACCTTAGTAGGCACAGTGATCAATAGGCAAAAAGAATCATGAATTTCACCCTATCTGCTGTCGTCAAAATGTCTCGGGTCACTTCTGAAGATGTATTGTGGAGTGACTGTGTACAATGTAGGTGAATAAGAAGGAATCCAAGTTACAGGTGTGGAGGCTCCAGCTGGTAACTGACCCAAGTCCAGGTGACACTCATAGCACCTCTGAGTTGGCCGATCCCAGCCAAGACAACGTTGGGGGAGATGATTAATAAATAATACTAATAATAATCCTTACATTGGTACAGCATGTTTCACATTAGCAGCACACCCCAAAGCACTTCACAAGACATGCTGCAAAGTGCAGTGACTGTGTGTTTGTGTGGGTGAACACTACAGCAGCTTTGTACGCAGCGACATCCCACAAACAGCCATGAAGTGAACGATCGATTTGATCTGGGGGATTGCCAGGGAGAGAGAGAGAGAGGGGGAGAGACAGAGAGAGGGAGAGACAGAAGAGAGGGAAAAACTTCCTTCTCTTTTCGAACAGTGCCACAGGGATCATTACCAGGCACCTGAACAGGGCACGGATGGGGAGCTTGATTTACTGTCTCTCTCATGTAGTTCACCCAGAAAATAAGCCAGAGGTTGCATTCCCAAAGCGGTTTGTCCTACAACCTTGATCCCGAATACATGGTTATCCAGAACTTTAGAGATTTAACAATAATTTTTGTATTTGATATCACACGTTCCACATAGCAAGGATGTCACAAAGCATTCCACCTGATTCACAGTAAAGTGTAGTGACTGTGCACTTGCAGGCGAAGGCAGAAGCCAATTTGCACATAGCAGAGGAAGGCTACTGCAGGAATGGGAAAGGAGCAGGGAATGGGGATATGGGGGGATGGTTTGTTGGAGGAGCAAACACTGGCACAAACAATCGGCCAAAAGGCCTCCAACTGTGTTGCCCATTTCCATGGACGGGACAGATATGGAGCAACGACAGCAGATGTCAAGGAAGCACAAAGCCAAACAGAAGTGCAGTGCCATCGCTGTGGGATTGTCTGAGAGGGACAGTCAAGTCTTCACCTTTACAATAAGTCATTGTGGTGTTGAAAGAAGCTGTTCCGGAGACAAATCCTCGGTCACACGCACACCGGAAACCTCCGTTTGTGTTGTGACAAGTTGCGTTGGAGCCACACGGGCTGGACTGACACTCATTGATATCTGTAATAAAAACATCTGATGATAAAGGTTCACAGCTCCAAAATCAGCTCAAGAAAGGGGACTGATCAATATACAAGTTTGTTTGTTTTTTCTCCTTTTTTGCTCTCTCTCTCTTTCCTTCTTCCTCTATTTTTCTTTCTCTCTTTTTCTCTTCCTCTCCCTTTCTTACTTTCCAGCTTTCAAAGCAGCCTCATTCTACTCTGGATATGAGACAGCACTGAGGGAAGGCCAGGCATGTGTCGGGGTCACTCATGTCATCATATCATTGAGACGTCTTAAAACGTTTCACAGGATTTGGTGTAAAGTGACCATGTGTTTTGTGGGCGAAACATGGCAACCAATTTTGCACAGAACAAATTTCCACAAAAAGCCATGGAGCGAGAGACCAGTTGCATTTAGGGGATTGTCGGCCAGGTCACCGTGAGTGACAGAGAAACTCCCTTCTCTTTTCCAACAGCGCTGTGAGATCTTTAACATCCACCTGACCAGGGCACAGACAGGAGCTCGGTTTAACGTCTCACCTGAAGGACGGCACCTCTGACAATGCAGCGTTTCCCCCCCACCCAGCACTGCACTGGAGCATCAGCTTAGTCTCTATAGGCTGCAAAGCCTGACATGGGGGGCTCGAGCCCACAACTTTCTGACTCCGAGGCGACAGCACTACCAACTGAGCCAGGCTGAGATGTCTCTCGGGTTCCACAGTTTGAAGGCAACAATGGGCTGATGCATTCATACATCTGGGACAAGAGAATTGTCACCTTGGGGTTAACATTAATAGTCACGGTGATCCAACAGGAATAGGAAACATGAATTTCACCCTATCTGCCGTCGTTAAAACGTCTCGGATCGCTTCTGAAGATGTATTGTGTAGCGTAGTGACTGTGTATAATATAAGTGAATAAGAAGGAATCCAAGTTACAGGTGTGGAGGCTCCAGCTGGTAACTGACCCACGTCCAGGTGACACTCATAGCAACTCTGAGTTGGCCGATCACAGCCAGGACAACGTTGGGGGAGATGATTAATAAATAATACTTATAATAATCCTTACAGAACATTTCAAATTGGGAGGACAGGCGCAACGTGCTTCACAGGACACACTGCAAAGTGGAGTGACTGTATGTTTGTGTGGGGGGAACTCCAGTCACTTTATACACAGCGACTTCCCACAAGTGAACGACTGATTTCAACTGGACTGTTGGCCAGTACACCGGGAGAGAGAGAAAACTTCCTTCTCTTTTCAAACAGTGCCACAGGAATCATGAATGTCCACCTGAACACGGCTCTTTACTATTGAATAGCTCATAGACTGCACAGATGGCATGGACCCAGTCTTTCACGTTGCACCAACGCTTTCTTTCCTCCAGAGGGCAGTAAATGAACACAAAAGGCGAGCAATGAAGAGGTCCACTTCAGCCTTCATAAGATCCCAAGATGGGTTTGGATGAAGAAGTCCCTTCACCCCAACTGATCTCATCACCTCCACAACACCCGCCCGACTGTCTCCCATCACAGTATCGAGCTGCTTTTTGAACGAGTCCCAGTGTCCTGGCCTCAACCACCCCTTCCTGGCCACCCTATTCCAGTTATCAGTTACCCCCCACCTTCACTCACACTCACCATCACTGCATTGGAGCATTCCAAGTCCCAACCTTCTGACACAGAGGCCAGAGGCCAGGGAGTGTTGGGATCACGGAAGCAGCGCGAGCAGAAAATCGGCGAAGCTCGGCGCCCGGCCTCGGTGAATATTGGTAAGTGCTTTACTATTCAACTTAACATTTTTAGTATTTTAAACATGACTATATGTTCAGGAAATATATGCCGATAGATTTCATCCAAATTGTTTCACAAAATGCGCCTCCAAATAGCACCAATTAACCCTACAATTTTCCCGGAAAATCGATCAAACTCATCTGTACTTTTCCCGCAGGAGCGGGCGAAAGCTCCACAATTTTTGGCAAATATTTCCACACTTTTCTATTGGCCCAAGTCATTCCACAGCCCCCCCCCCCCCCCCGCTCCCGGTGCTTCAGGGTAACAATACTACTTCTACTGATAATAATCCCTGCATTTGATATAGCGCCTTATCACATCTTCGAGACGTCTCAAATCGCTTCACAGTATATACTGTCCAGTGAATGGACTTTGTATTCTTTGGGTGAAATGCAGCAGCCAATTGCACACAGCGATTATTATCGAACCCGGGTCTTCTCAATCTACAGGCCACACAAATGAATCAACGGCGAACAATGACTGGCATGCCTTCCCTATTGGGAAAACGTCTCCAAGTGCTTCACACAACTGACTGCGAGCTCGAGCCGGGGAGAAGCTATCAAAGTTCGATGAACCGAGATTTGGTTGAAGAGATAAGGCAGCGAGGGTGTGGGTGGGGTTCAGATAAGGCAAGAGAGGGTGTGGGTGGGTTGAGAATAAGGCAGAGAGGGTGCGGGTGGGGTTGAGATAAGGCAGAGAGGGTGGTGGGTGGGGTTGAGGTAAGGAGAGAGGGAGTGGGTGGGGTTGAGGTAAGGAGACAGGGAGTGGGTGGGGTTGAGGTAAGGAGAACAGGGAGTTGGGTGGGGTTGAGGTAAGGAGAGAGGGTGTGGGGTGGGGTTGAGGTAATGAGAGAGGATGTGGGTGGGGTTGAGGTAAGGAGAGAGGGTGTGGGTGGGGTTGAGGTAAGGAGAGGGGTGTGGGGTGGGGTTGAGGTAATGAGAGAGGATGTGGGTGGGGTTGAGGTAAGGAGAGAAGGTGTGGTGGGGTTGAGGTAGGAGGAGGGTGTGGGTGGGGTTGAGGTAAGGAGAGAGGGTGTGGGTGGGGGTCGGGAGTGAGACAGAGGGATTCTGGATGGAGTTCCAGAGAGCCCAGGGCACAATGGCTGAGCTGTGGTGGGGGATGTGAGGCCGGCTGTTTGATGAGCGAGGGGAGCTTAGTATCAAAAGGTTCCATGTCACCTTAGGCAGAGGATGGAATTTTCCTGCTCTCTCAACATCAACATTCTTCCCTCTCCCCCACTCCCCAAAAAAACATGTGATCGTACATTTCAGCGCTGGCTCAATTCAGAACCCAACCC